TCAACGGCACAGCTAGGAGAGCTCAAAAAAGCATTTTATAGTTAAAGACTCTTCTTTGAGTCATAAAAGTGCATTGAAATTACTTAGGAATTGTGCACACTTTGGAGAGGTGTGTGGCCACTTGGAAACACCAGTTAGACCGCTCACTCATTTTTTTGTCATATGTTGCACCTACCCCAAATTTTCCAAGAATATTCTTATGTTACTGAATGTATCCAGAGTATTATCAGATTTCGTTATCAACAAATGTAGTGAAAAGTACGATAAATGTAAAATGCACATAAAATCAACAGTGTAATGTTTGGATTCAGTTGTGTCAGGTGAACTGTTGTGTCCTCACCTTTAGTCTAACTGTTCCCTTTTTATTGCTACCATGGTTATGCATTTCATATTTCTTCTGCAAGAAACATTTCAATTTAGCCATATCCATATAGGCCAATTCCCACAGTGTAAGGGTTAAGGTAGGCTATATTATGCAAAACATAGCTCAAGACAAAGTGCAAGTGTCTCTTCTCGCTCCAACTCTGGCTGTCTTTCAAACTACATCTAGTCTATTGGCTGATATAGCCCAGTAATACCGATAGCCTATATTCTAATATAAATGGGCCACGTGAGAATCTCTGGTAATTTTACCTATTTCTTGGGTTAATTCTGCGCATTGTGATATTGCTTATAGGGCTCAAAATTGCTGGGACCATAGCTGCCGAGCGAGCTGCATCACATATGGCTAAAATAAAATTTGCTGGACTGTGGTCGGGTTCGGGACTAGTTGTTGCGGGAGTGGGTGGGAGTCGGACAAAAAGCCAGCGGGAGCGGGTGGGTGCAGTATGAAAAGCTGCAGGAGCAGGCGGGAGCGGGATGAAGCAGACCTCTGCTTGGACCTACAGTATGTCTGCAAGTGGCCGTGGGCACACAGTGGAGTGGACAACACTTCTGTCACTGTAGGGTTCCGCTCTAGTCAGCTGCCTTGTGGAATACTGACACAGCAGCTTGGTCCATCTGAACCACAGTAACCAACAGCCAATCTCCTCTCTCTTACACAGGGAACACAGTAAGACCAGCTCACTGACTAACACTGTTCAATACTGTATATGATGGTAAATTAATTAGTAATACAATGTTACTTTCCCCAAATTTCAACATTTGAATGATATGAAACAGACAAACTGTCTAATGTATTAATAGATGTTAGAAATCATGAAAAGCAAGATACAAATATTCTAAATACTTATGACATTTAGGATTCTACACTAACATTACTTAAATGTGCACATTTATAATCACAACATAAACACATCTATTACCTCACTATTGTGTCCTCTCAGGTTGAAGTTGATCCTCTGTGGGGTAGTCCGATCCCTTCTGCAGTGGCTGGATGTGAACGTTACCCCGACAACCCCTCTCCCATTCCCTGTGGCAAGCCAGCCCTCCTCATAGTAGCGCCGCCGGCACACTGGCTTCTCCTTCTCGCTCTTGGGTACCCGGCCCTTCCATGACAGGCAGAGGATGTTGGAGTCGCTGCACAGGACGGGGCCATGCTCCACTGCGGCGAACATGCCTGCCGACCGCAACTCGTTCCACAATGAGGTAAAAGAATCCGGTAGGTCGCGCCTTTTGGAGAGGGTGGTGGTCCAGCTATGAGCGCTTCCACTCCGCTGCAGGCAAACTCGTGTCGGCGCCGTGGAACAGACGCTGCATAGTATTTGACGTTTTGGTAGTTTTATCTAGGTGTCCCCGTACGTTTTTAGGAAAATAGTCTGATCAGTTGTTGATCACCAAATTATCTAAATAACATGGTTGGCCAGTGGTGATTTCGTAGAAGATTGCATAAACGTTCAAAGGCACACATTCAGGTCATTTCGATTTGATAAATCAGTAAGTCCTGTCAATGTGATACTGAATCCATGAGTATTGACCACGGAGGTGAAAGATTAAAGTATTGGCCTATACATTGCGTTCTACCAAATGTTATACATGCACACATTTTTTTTACTTAACATGAAGTTACTTTTATAACTACAGTAGATCCGATCCCGGGATAAGAAAATCTATTTTCCTTTTTGTTTGCAGTCGTAGGCTACAGTGCTGGAACAAGTTGGCAACTCAAAGCCAACTAAACTAACAACTTAACAAAGCTCCTCCAACAACTTTGAACCATGCAATAAGTTTTAAAAAAACATTCATTCTTGGAGCCTTGATTAGCTCCGTTAGAAATAAGAAATAAATGTGTTGAGTGCATGTCAAAAGGCAAGTGTCCGAGCACTAAAAAACCTCCTAAAATGCAGGCATCAAATCTCAATTCCTAACCACCCACTGCTTCAATCTGGACCATCCGATTATTCTGAATATGGTCCAATTCGGTGAGGCATCACTGCTTAACTGAACACCTGTCCTCCATGCGATGTCTGAAACGGGACTCCTCACACCAGGGCTGTAATCATTAGTCCAAAACTACTAAAACAAGAGTTTCTATTGGACAAATGCAGGTAAGTCTCTCCCCGTTACGTTTGAGTCCGTTTAAGAAACGTTTTGCAAAAGACTCTGTGTAATGAATAAACCCCAGCTGTCAACCCCAACCCGTGGGAGTGCTGCTTCTCCCAGCAATGTCATGTCACCCAGCTTGCCTTCCAATCTATGTCGGGGATCCTGTCAAGGAGTGCTGTGAAAACGGGAGAAAAATAAACATTTTATATAGGGTGATCAAGGTGAAGATCAAGGAGAACTGATACCCCTGAGAAAATACAGCAGCAATAAATATGCCAGCCAGGATGCGCCGTTTGAGTTCACATTGTTGAGACTCAGAGATAGAAATCTGAGAGAGAAATCACAGCGAGAGAGAATGCGTGGGCGAATGGCCATAAAGACCACGACGCAAAAGAACGGACAATAAAATACTACAAATATTGTTAGGCTGTGATGTGTGAGGCAAATGATGGGGGGCACAACATTGGAGCCTTCCATTGTCAAACGTATTCGCCATCCCGATCGGTTTATACAAATCATTGATTCAGACCATGTTCAGATATTGATACAGCAGCTAGTTAACTAGCTCAGTGCCATAATTATCCACAACATAGCTATTTGATTTCCAATAACAGCATACCCCTATAAACCCCTGCTAGCTAACGTTAGTTTCCAGAATCAAGTTGGTTTAGCACCATAAACTGGGGATATTTCTTTATATGCAAGTATTTGAACCTCGGTGTTTTGGCTGCACAGCCCAATCACTGACGTTAGCTAACGTTAGCGAATAGCGGGCTAAATAACAGTGACCATAAAATAATATCCATCCATTCAGCCAAATATTGGCATCATTTGTATTAGCAATTTAGCAGCTTATTCACTACATAACTAAAGGGGGTAACTATTAACTAAATTATTAATTACCTAGTTAACTAGTAAGTCACAGACAGAAATACCGGCATTGTCCCATTTTATCTGGACATTTCACAAATCACAAAACGTTAGCTAACCAACCACTGGCATCGGCATCTTCACTGTAAATTGGTTGGCTAGCTAGTTAGCTTATGTTAGCTAGTCAGTAGCCCGATAGCAAAATAGCTAGCTAGCCGTTTTGTTTTCGAAAGACTAGTTTGTGTGGCTAATTACAATAACAGCAAGGGAGTAGGTATCGTTGTCAGTATGCTAAAATCATGTGAGACCTAACGTCAATATCGCTGGATAAATATCAACGGACAATGAGAAACCGCTTACCACTCGTCTCCCTTGTCTTGTCTTGTGTTGTTGCTGAATGTACAGGGTAGGGCCTGTGCTGGGGCGCGTTCAGCAGGACGCAACGTTTTGGAACGTTCGGATAGAAATAGGCTATGTAGAACAAACAGGCCTCTGACAGGTAGAGGCACATAAAATTAGAAAGAATTAGATAGAATGTCCATTAACCTTCTTATGACGGGATAAAGTTATTTTGGTCAGGGAGTTGGTCAACCATGGTTGGCCAGTGCTGTGATAAGATAGTCTAAAATAATGCATTTGAAGAATGTCTCTGCACTGTATGTTTGTTAGCTAGCTAGCCAGCCAGTTTTAGAGGAATCATTCCATTAATTTGTATAATTTACTGCCAATATGCTAACATTCCATTCAAAAAATGCAGTCAATCCACAACCATACACTGGCTGAAATCAGTTGATGATAGGATTTAGACAAGATTTAAATGCAACAAGTACTGATATTGTATCATATAATAGCACTCACAGCTTTCCAAGAAAACAAAAATGTAGACATTAATGGTCCGTTTACATATTTTAGAGGCTATCTATACAGAACATTGATATACAACTTGTATAAACTGTATTTATAATTATATTACAATATTTTAGGTTGACAATTAATCTATGACACAATTTCTGATATATCAGATGCCATACTTTTTTTCTTCCAGCATAAGTGAAATCAGGATTATGCCTCTACTACCGTTCGTTCCAATTAGACTGGTTTGGATTTCTCCCTGACCAATATGGCTGCCATTTTCAGTCCATTCTGGAACTTTGAAAGTTCATGACATAGACCCTCTAGCAAAGTAACATGATCTCTATGTAGAGGAATCGCATCAGCTCTATTCATGGCATTTCTATCGGCAACGTTTGACAACGTTTGACAACTGAACGTGGCCCGGGTTACTGTATCACGTGACAGACATGATTTGGTCCGCTACATCTCTTTTTCTGTAGATAAAAACAGCTAATATACGGAGACACGAAGATCTTCAATCTACATTTTCTGAATTGCTTGAATATATGCAACAACATTCGACAAAATTACTTTTTATTGGCAGACCATAGCTTATTGTTATCTGAATATGTTATAGCATGTGGCATGACTTAGTAAAATAATATTTTCTTTGCAAAATAGCACAAATGTAGGTTCTGGAAGAAATTAGATGGCTAAATGTACCTATAACTTAAAAAACAACAAGGACGATTAAACCTGTTATTACTCCTATACCGATGGGGCAGCATTTCACCGTTGCTTGGTTAGTCTGTCACTGAAGAAGATAACTGTCACGCCCTCACAAACATCATGGCGGCCCCCATGGTAGTCGGTCGAAATATTCGCACCTTCGCAAGGATATTCGTAGGAGTCTCACAATCGGTACAGTATTTACTATTCTTAATATTAAGTATATTTGCGTTCTCGTTATTAATGGGTTATCCACATGTATTATCTAATACACGAAGCTTCTCGCACAGATTCTGCCTGTGCGTGTGAACTTAGTTAGCCATTCAGCTCTGCTCTCTAGGGCGTTACTAACAACCTGGACCAGAGCTAGCCCATAGTTAGCTATCTTGATCATGTTTTGTTAATTCAAAGTTTTAGCTAATAACAATTTGACCCGTTTTTACAGCGACCAATAGGATTGAACGCTTGCAGATATCATGGGAGATCTACATTATTTCGGTATGTACCTAGCTAACTAACTAGCGGACTAAACTGAACTCCATGATACATTTTTGAAGTATTGACAATTCTTTGCTGAAATCCATACTTTTTCAATAAACGTTAATCAAATGCAACCACCAACTGCTCGTTTCTATTTCTCGAAGGTGGCAACTCCGCGCGAATGCGAAATTTGATTGGTCGACACACCGTCTGCGATTTGATTGGTCAATTAGTATTTGGAGACCTACCCTACGTAATCGGAGATGTGCACATTCGCGCTGACTTGCTTGCCATCTTCGAGAAACAGAAACGAGCAAATAGTCGGTGGTTGTAATTGATTAACGTTTATTGAAAAATTAGGGATTTCAGCAAACAGAAAGGCACGCAACTACAGAGACAAACATAGGTAATAGGTAAGCGTTTCATTATTTACATTTTCGGGAAGTATTGACTTTGGTTGGGCGAATCGATGTAGTCGGAACTGAATTCCACAAAGTCTGGTCTCTACTGAACTCCGATGGCGGAGTTCATCAGAAACTTTCTTCACCATGGAGTTGAGTTTAGTCAGCTACTAGCTATAGTCTTCAAGTGTAAAATCCATATAGTGAACGTTTGCTACTTGTCAATCATGTAGCTAACTAATCCAACTCCAGTTTCACCTTCTCCATTCTCCTACAACAGCCCTCTCCAGTTGACTGCAGCCTGCCTCCACACTGGAACCTTCTCTTCCTCTCTTCCCTCATCTGTGAGTCATCCTGTTTTGTTTTCGACACTCCCAGCACAATGGCAATAGCCTTGATGCCCCCAGCACTCGTGTGCCAATAGCCTTGATGCCCCCAGCACTCGTGTGCCAATAGCCTTGACGGTGTTTCTCTGTGTGGTTTCGGCTCAACTCCTTCAACACCCTGTCTACATCACCTTGATGCACTGTTAGTCTATAACTTTTAATTGTCAGATCACATGGCCAAGAAAAAGTCAGTACCCTACATAGAGCATGGATGACAGACACTATTCTGCTGAACTTTATCTAGTAAATGACACATTTCTCTTTTCCTTCCAGGTGATTGTCACAGAGGAGCCAGACACGCTGTACCAGAAGGTGTCTGTGCTGGTTAAGGGCCATGACAAAGCAGTCCTGGACAGCTATGAGTTCTTCGCCATCCTGGCTGCCAAAGAGCTGGGAGTCACTCTGGGCAAAGTGTGAGTTGACAGAGAGAGGTGTTACACTGTCACATCAGTTGTATTATGTTCCCATCTCTGTTGAGTTGTCCTTTGACTAAATGAGATACTAAATTAGCACAGAGCATAACTTTTATATTTAGGTAGCAGTGCCAATCTGCTTTGATGATAATGCTCAATATTTTTGTTTTCTTACTGTGGGAACAATACTTGTTCAAAAGGCTGTCTGTTTATTTTCCTTTTGCACTAGATTTGAGCCTCCAAAGAACATTGAGCGGCTGACACTTCTGAAATCTGTCCACATCTTCAAGAAACACAGGGTCCAGTACGAAATGAGGACGCACTACCGCTGCATAGAGGTGAGGCCAACAGTTTTCTTCCACCCTTAAGTTCCTACAAATGCCTCTGCCCTAATCTTTTTCAGAACTAGAACATTCCATTGGGGATTGTTTCCACTCCTATTGATTCTGTTAGAACTCCTGAAGAGTCAATAGATTTATAGGGTTTTGGGTTTATTTCAAGATGAGATGGGTGGCTATAGGGAAGGTTCAATGGACTGATACAGGGGGTCGGTGTTATGTTTACATCTTCTTTTCATCTCTCTCCCTTAGCTCTCTCGTGTGACTGGATCCACTGCACAGGTGTACCTGGAATACATACAGAGGAATCTGCCTGAGGGTGTGGCCATGGAGGTGACCAAGGTAAGATTGAGAAGATGTTACAGGTTCTAGATAGGTTTCCTTTTTAAAAATGTATTTTACATTTGTGTCCCCTTTTTTTTTCATACCAAATACAAACGCACACAAACAACGACTACATCTCTTCTGCCCAGACACACATGCTCACACCCCATCCCTAGTGCCTGCATTATTGTTTGCCACATGGCCTTCACCCATGCTATTTCATTATTTTGATAATAAATCATTAGATGTTTCCATTGTGTTAATGATGGCGGATTGATTGATTTCCACGTTTTTAAATAAATGTTTTTTCAAGATGAGTCTTCCAGCCCATTGGGTATCTCACTACACCCCCATATGCCATGTCTTGAAATATGCAGGGTCCGGATAGGTTCCATTGTACAGCCAGGTCAACCACAATGTCAACCGTCCACAATCTTCATTTTTTTTTAATGCATTGGTATGCCGTCTTATGTCAACAGGAATAAGATCAGTCATATGCCTTAATCTGTTTTGGGTATAATAAAGGATTTAGCATTCTTATACACACACTCATATTTGAAAGTACACCGACTCCACTTCTGGTTGTAATATTTCTGTCTATCTCTTTAGACCTCCATGGAGAAGGTTCCAGAGCATATCCTGGAACCTATGTGGAACGACCCGCCCACAGAAGAGAAGCCCAGCCAATAAGAGCAGAGTCACATACATAAGCTGCTTACCTGCTGGCTGTTCCCAGCACCCAATCAAGAAGACAGAACCTCCAGCCCTGAGAGACTGGTCCAGAGAATATGCTTGTTGACAAGGGTCAGCCAGAGCAAGGCGCTGCGTAGATGATCTGATCAACTTCTGAACAAATAGGTATTAATTTAACTGATCCTTATCATTGAATCATTGGCAAGCGAACTGTGCGGCCCCTAGCTCAGGCCAACCCTCATGAACAAGCAGTGACTCAGTATCTGTGGATCAGGACATCCTCCACAAAATCAAGAACTGAAACAGACTATTTCAGTCCAGAGAGATGGTCAGTAGTCATCTGCTCTCTGAGTTCAGCTTATGCTGCTCATTTTAGTTGGCTTTCTTTTTCTTGTAATGTCCACATTTCTGTACTCCAACAGACTACAGGATATGTGTTATGTATGTTTTGTTATTAAACTATTAATTATCATAAGTCTTTATCGTTCTTTGTTTCTAGGGCTTTGTTTTATGATATGTTTTCTGTTTTCATGTGCAAGTCAGTCAGATTCATAACTGTTGTTTTCACAACATAAATTAAGATATTTTGAGAGTTATTTGCCAGATAAAGAGGGATTATGTTGGATGTAACATATGCACCATAGCAGACTGATGTTCTTGATGGGTATTGATTTGGTTTGCATTGTGTGAATCTGTAAGCAGTATAGAAGGCCAACACAGGACATTGAAGGTGTTTATTGAAGGACAGCAATACACAACTCAAAAGGCAAAACTGGAAATGATTGCACTGAATTAGATAAAAATTTTTTTACATACTCATCACAATGTCTACTGGCTACTGACAGTGCGAATTTCAGATCCTTTCCTTATTCTGACCAAATGAAAGGCCAGTGCTTCTTCATGTTATATAAGCAGTTGTCCAAGTAAAATTCCCTTCAATTAATCAACATGGTCACTTCCTCTGGCTGCTCTACATTAAAACCTCTGATCCGGCCCCTCCCCTTCTCTCCCCCTGGATCCAGATGAGTCATACGTATGATGACAACGCTCAGCCATTAATCATATTAAGCCCTGTGTGAGTCATCTCATCCTTGGGTGGAGATGAGTGAGGAAGCTTTGATCGCTTTAAAATCTTTGCTGCAGTTGACTCAGGCAATGTTAAAAGGTCATTTCTGCTATCCTTATATGTCAAATATGTATATTTCATATTTCGGTGCAGTATTGATAATTTGTATTGACAAGTAGGCTATGGACTGGTGGTAAACTATTAAAGGCCCAGTGCAGTCAAAATTCAGTTTTTCTTGTGTTTTGTATCATATTGTACAACAGCTGATGAAACTAACACTGTAAAAGTGTGAAAAAATGTGATCAGTGTTATTTCCTGATAGTTGCTGGTCAAATACAAACTACACAGGACCTTCTGATCAGCAGGTTTGCGTGGGTGGGAGTTTTGGCTTTCCATGGTGATATCACCATGCAGTAAATTGGTTAATGTTGCACTATGCAGAAATCACTCCGCCATTTCCTGGTTTCTGAAACTCTAATATGCCGAACAAAAATATAAACGCAACATTCAACTATTTAAAAGATTTTACTGAGTTACTGTTCATATAAGGAAGTCAATCAATTTAACTAAATTCATTAGGCCCTAATCTATGGATTTCACGACTGGGAATACAGAAATGCATCTGTTGGTCACAGATACCTTTAAAAGAAAGTAGGGGCGTGGATCAGAAAACCAGTCAGACCATTTGCCTCATGCAGCGCAACACATCTCCTTCGCATAGAGTTGATCAGGGTGTTGATTGTGGCCTGTGAAATGTTTTCCCACTCCTCTTCAAAGGCTGTGCGAAGTTGCTGGATATTGGCGGGAACTGGAACGCTCTGTCGATCCAGAGCATCCCAAACATGCTCAATGGGTGACATGTCTGGTGAGTATGCAGGCCATGGAAGAACTGGGACATTTTCAGCTTCCAGGAATTAATTATCTAAAATGATGTTGGAGGTGGCTTATGATAGAGAAATTAACATTACATTCTCTGGCAACAGCAACAGCTCTGTTTTGCTAGCACAGACTGGAAAATGTTCCGGGATTCTTCCGATGGCATTGAGGAGTACACCACATCAGTCACTGGCTTCATCAATAAATGCATCGATGACGTCGTCCCCACAGTGACTGTACGTACATACCCCAACCAGAAACCATGGATTACAGGCAACATCCGCACTGAGCTAAAGGGAAGAGCTGCCACTTTCAAGGAGCGGGACTCTAACCCAGATCTTATAAGAAGTCCCGCTATGCCCTCCGACGAACCATCAAACAGGCAAAGCATCCATACAGGACTAAGATCGAATCGTACTACACCGGCTCCGACGCTTGTCAGATGTAGCAGAGCTTGCAAACTATTACAGACTACAAAGGGATGCACAGCCGCGAGCTGCCCAGTGACACAAGCCTCCCAGACGAGCTAAATTACTTCCATGCTCGCTTAAAGGCAAGTAACACTGAAACATGCAAGAGAGCATCAGTTGTTCCGGACGACTGTGTGATCACGCTGTCCATAGCCGATGTGAGTAAGACCTTTAAACAGGTCAACATTCACAAGGCCGCAGGGCCAGACGGATTACCAGGACGTGTACTCTGAGCATGTCTTCACTGACATTTTCAATCTCTCCCTGTCTGAGTCTGTAATACCAACATGTTTCAAGCAGACCACCATAGTCCCTGTGCCCAAGAACACTAAGGTAACCTGCCTAAATGACTACCGACCCGTAGCACTCACGTCTGTAGCCATGAAGTGCTTTGAAAGGCTGGTCTTGGCTCACATTAACACCATTATCCCAGAAACCCTAGACCCACTCCAATTTGCATACTGCCCAGATGAAGCAATCTCTATTGCGCTCCACACTGCCCTTTCACACCTGGACAAAAGGAACACATATGTGAGAATGCTATTCATTGACAACAGCTCAGCGTTCAACACCATAGTGCCCTCAAAGCTCATCACTAAGCTAAGGACCCTGGGACTAAACACCTCCCTCTGCAACTGGATCCTGGACTTCCTGAGGGAACGCCCCCAGGTGGTAAGGGTAGGGAATAACACATCCGCCACGTTGATCCTCAACACGGGGGCCCCTCAGGGGTGCATGCTCAGTCCCCTCCTGTACTGCCTGTTCACTCATGACTGCATGGCCAGGCACGACTCCAACACCATCATTAAGTTTTCCGATGACACAACAGTGGTAGGCCTGATCACCGACAATGATGAGACAGCCTATAGGGAGGAGGTCAGAGACAACAACCTCTCCCTCAATGTGATCAAGACAAAGGAGATGATTGTGGACTACAGGAAAAAGAAGAGGACTGAGCACGCCCCCATTCTCATCAATGGGGCTGTAATGGAGCAGGTTGAGAGCTTCAAGTACCCCCCCCCCCCCCCCTTACACTGCTACTACTCTCTGTTTATCATCACTTTAATAACTCTACCTACATGTACAGTGGGGGGAAAAAGTATTTAGTCAGCCACCAATTGTGCAAGTTCTCCCACTTAAAAAGATGAGAGAGGCCTGTAATTTTCATCATAGGTACACGTCAACTATGACAGACAAATTGAGAAAATAAAATCCAGAAAATCACATTTTTAATGAATTTATTTGTAAATTATGGTGGAAAATAAGTATTTGGTCACCTACAAACAAGCAAGATTTCTGGCTCTCACAGACCTGTAACTTCTTCTTTAAGAGGCTCCTCTGTCCTCCACTCGTTAACTGTATTAATGGCACATGTTTGAACTTGTTATCAGTATAAAAGACACCTGTCCACAACCTCAAACAGTCACACTCCAAACTCCACTATGGCCAAGACCAAAGAGCTGTCAAAGGACACCAGAAACAAAATTGTAGACCTGCACCAGGCTGGGAAGACTGAATCTGCAATAGGTAAGCAGCTTGGTTTGAAGAAATCAACTGTGGGAGCAATTATTAGGAAATGGAAGACATACAAGACCACTAATAATCTCCCTCGATCTGGGGCTCCACGCAAGATCTCACCCCGTGGGGTCAAAATGATCACAAGAACGGTGAGCAAAAATCCCAGAACCACACGGGGGGACCTAGTGAATGACCTGCAGAGAGCTGGGACCAAAGTAACAAAGCCTACCATCAGTAACACACTACGCCGCCAGGGACTCAAATCCTGCAGTGCCAGACGTGTCCCCCTGCTTAAGCCAGTACATGTCCAGGCCCGTCTGAAGTTTGCTAGAGTGCATTTGGATGATCCAGAAGAGGATTGGGAGAATGTCATATGATCAGATGAAACCAAAATAGAACTTTTTGGTAAAAACTCAACTCGTCGTGTTTGGAGGACAAAGAATGCTGAGTTGCATCCAAAGAACACCATACCTACTGTGAAGCATGGGGGTGGAAACATCATGCTTTGGGGCTGTTTTTCTGCAAAGGGACCAGGACGACTGATCCGTGTAAAGGAAAGAATGAATGGGGCCATGTATCGTGAGATTTTGAGTGAAAACCTCCTTCCATCAGCAAGGGCATTGAAGATGAAACGTGGCTGGGTCTTTCAGCATGACAATGATCCCAAACACACCGCCCGGGCAACGAAGGAGTGGCTTCGTAAGAAGCATTTCAAGGTCCTGGAGTGGCCTAGCCAGTCTCCAGATCTCAACCCCATAGAAAATCTTTGGAGGGAGTTGAAAGTCTGTGTTGCCCAGCGACAGCCCCAAAACATCACTGCTCTAGAGGAGATCTGCATGGAGGAATGGGCCAAAATACCAGCAACAGTGTGTGAAAACCTTGTGAGACTTACAGAAAACGTTTGACCTGTGTCATTGCCAACAAAGGGTATATAACAAAGTATTGAGAAACTTTTGTTATTGACCAAATACTTATTTTCCACCATAATTTGCAAATAAATTCATAAAAAATCCTACAATGTGATTTTCTGGATTTATTTTTCTCATTTTGTCTGTCATAGTTGACGTGTACCTATGATGAAAATTACAGGCCTCTCTCATCTTTTTAAGTGGGAGAACTTGCACAATTGGTGGCTGACTAAATACTTTTTTCCCCCACTGTACATATTACCTCAATTACCTCGACTAACCGGTACCCCCTCACATTGACTCGGTACCGGTACCCCCTGTATATAGCCTCGCTATTGTTATTTTACTGCTGCTCTTTAATTATTTGTTACTTTTATTTCTTATTTTATATTTTTATTTAATGTATTTTTTGTATTTTTTTAGTATTCTTTCTTAAAACTGCATTGTTGGTTAAGGGCTTGTAAGTAAGCATTTCACTGTAAGGTCTACATCTGTTGTATTCGGTGCATGTGACAAATACAATTTGATTTGATTTGGTGGACATTCCTTCAGTCAGCATGCCAATTGCATGCTCCCTCATAATTTGAGACATCTGTGGCATTGTGTTGTGTGACAAAACTGCACATTTTAGAGAGTCATTTAATTGTCCCCAGCACAAGGTGCACCTGTGTAATGATCCTGCTGTTTAATCATCTTCTTGATATGCCACACGGGTCAGGTGGATGGATTACCTTCGCTAAGGAGAAATGCTCACTAACAGGGATGTAAACAAATTTGTACATAACAATAAATAAGCTTTTTGTGTGTATGGAACATTTCTGGAATCTTTTATTTCAGTTCATGAAACATGGGACCAACACTTTACATGTTGCATTTATATTTTTGTTCAGTGTAGTTCGCCTAATTTCAGTTTATGTGACAAAATAAGATAGTACAATGATTCTTTACACTATACTATCTAAACTGCTGTGAATATACTTTCCAAAACCAAAAATATTGTTTCAGCTGTTTGAAGCTGGTGTACAAAACCAAAATGTAAGAACAGTAAGCATAGAAATAGTTCACATAGAACAGCTATACCGCTTCTTTGACTTGCTTTCAAGTAGAATGATAGATCTATAACTCACATTTCTATGTCAATTTGGTCGTCGCCCAAAAAGTTACATATTGCCACTTGACCAATAACAAAGAGAGTTCCAAACCTCTGCCAATAACGACTAGTTTTAAGTTTTCCCCTCTCCACCCAGACATTCCTAGCAAAATTCTTCCTTGAGAAAAGTTTTTGCTAAAAAGCTATTTTTGCCCATTTGAATGGGAATCTATTACAGTAAGGTACTTAATTGTTAACGAGAAATGATTTAATATTCATATAAAAACGGCTGCTTTGGGCCTTTAAATCATCTATTGATGATTGGGCGGATTAGTTTATGCTGAACCGCAGGGCACCGGGCA